GGTTATACAGTAATTATAGGGAATGTAATTTATATACATATGCTCATTTATCAAAATCATATATTTTGGGAGATCGTGTGGTTTATTCATGATTTTGATTTTTTTTATGATGCGTATAAAGTATAGATCCATTTTGGTTAATGTAGACCTAAGTGATTGAGCTATTTCGACATGGGTGTTAAGCAAACACTTTAAGCTCTTTTCACGATGGTTAAGAATTTATGGTAATTTTTTGGCATCTTATTTTTAATATAGCTATAAACACTTGTCATTAGGCTGCACATGTTGATTTGTATTAAAGTTATACGGTGACAATATTTAACAGCTATACTTTCGAACAACAACAAGAGCTTGTGAAAAGTTCTTTGTTGTTAAAGGTACAAAGTGAACAGTACATAGAGCATATTAAGATAAACTCCACAATTGCGGATCCGCTTACTAAAGGATTAACACATAAGGTATTCATGAGCATTGCTCATGTAGGTGTTATATCATTTAAGAATATTTTGGGTCAGTGGGAGTTTGTGTGTATGTGTACATATAAATACATTTTGGTAGCTCTATGATATGTTTGGACACAATTTTGTGTATTTGGTTTTCTGCAGAAATAAAGTATTTGGCTACACTTTGTATAATTATGTAAATGTTTGGTCTCAATAAAGTTTAAAGTAGGACCAGTTGGAAATAGGCATGTTAAGATCACATTATATGTAATTTCCATGCTACACACCATGATTTGATCTATGTCGTTTGGCTATATTGGTTTACGTGATTACTGTTGGGTTTAGACACGCTCAATGTGACGAAAGCCTCTTTAGTCCTATATCAGTATGGTCAATGGACGAGATTGTAAGGAATACCTTTTTATATGATAGCAATATTTGAGCTCATAAGGTGTACACATTTATAAGATATATAGCATATGTGGCCCAAGTGGGAGATTGTTGGAATTATTTCAATAATTATGTGGGCTCACATATGTAACGTAAATGTGTATGGCTATCTAAAAGAAAGTCCAAATTAATTGTGATCTAATAAAGATTATTGGGTTGGACTTATGGGTATTAGACTATAATTATGGGCCTAATGTGTAGAGACAATTAGGGTTTAATTGTGATTTATTGATGGGGCTGAATCACAATTATAATATAACTGGACTCTACAGTTATATAAAGGGTCGTGGTCCCCAAAGAAACGCAATCATTCCGTCTCTTCTAAAATCCATCGTTAGAGAGACAAATAAGGAACTGCGGATTCTTTGGAAGGCCTATCCCAAATCCAGTGGAGATTCGAAGATTCGATTCAATTGTGTAAGGTACGCTTCCGTGTTTATGTTTGTGTTTAATTCTCGTTGATTCAAGCATGTTGGTTCTTGGGAATTCGTATGTATGTACGATAAATTTCTAACATGGATCCCTCTTTTTTTAATCAACGAATCCCAAGCCTACTCTATAGGTGCACCAGGTAAAATCTAAAGTCTTCTATTATAATTTGTATACTGTACGAGAGACACAAACCACACTAGGTTAACCATGTGCAACAAGCTCCACCAAGTGTTCGTTTTTTTTTTTTCTTTTTGACTATGCTATGAAAAAAAATAAAGAAGAGAAGATAGGCTCATTACATTAATAAAAAAAAAACTATGAGAATTTACCCGAAGTAATTGAGCATGAGAGTCAAATGAATCGACAGATTCATGTTTGGTTTGGGAAGGGATAATGGAAGTTTTAAAATGAACGGAAAGATAATCTACTTAGATAATCGAAAACAGAGGATCTTGAATACAAGGCCATTGAACGTAACAGCTGGAAAAAGCTCGGGCCAGCTTACGGAAAATGGAAATGGAAGCACATGAATTTCGGGTGAATGGATACTCTGAGATAGAGCGAGAAAAATTGAATTTGATTAAT